ATTGCTGAGGTCAGTTTTATGCCATTGTGTTATCCTGTAACAGAAGCCAGTGGTTGTGTCATACATGGACAGAGCTCAACACAACCCGATGTGTTGCTGAGGTCAGTTTAAGGTCATTGTGTTATCCTGTAACGCTAGCCAGTGGTTGTGTCATACCTGCACAGAACTCAACAAGCCCAATGTGTTGCTGAGGTCAGTTTAAGGTCATTGTGTTATCCTGTAACACTAGCCAGTGGTTGTGTCATACATGCACAGAGCTCAACACAGCCCGATGGGTTGCTGAGGTCAGTTCAAGGTCATTGTGTTATCCTGTTACCAGAGCCAGTTGTTGTGTCATACATGCACATATCTCAACACAGCCCGATGTGTTGCTGAGGTCAGTTTAAGGTCATTGTGTTATCCTGTAACGCTAGCCAGTGGTTGTGTCATACATGCACAGATCTCAACACAGCCCGATGTGTTGCTGAGGTCAGTTTTAGGCCATTGTGTTATCCTGTAACTCTAGCCAGTGGTTGAGTCATACCTGCACAGAGCTCAACACAGCCCGATGTGTTGCTGAGGTCAGTTTAAGGTCATTGTGTTATCCTGTTACCAGAGCCAGTGGTTGTGTCATACATGCACAGAGCCCAAGACAGCCCGATGTGTTGCTGAGGTCAGTTCAAGGTCATTGTGTTATCCTGTTACGCTAGCCAGTGGTTGTGTCATACATGCACAGATCTCAACACAGCCCGATGTGTTGCTGAGGTCAGTTTTAGGCCATTGTGTTATCCTGTAACTCTAGCCAGTGGTTGAGTCATACCTGCACAGAGCTCAACACAGCCCGATGTGTTGCTGAGGTCAGTTCAAGGTCATTGTGTTATCCTGTTACCAGAGCCAGCGGTTGTGTCATACATGCACAGAGCCCAAGACAGCCCGATGTGTTGCTGAGGTCAGTTTTATGGCCATTGTGTTATCCTGTTACCAGAGCCAGTGGTTGTGTCATACATGCACAGAGCTCAAACAAGCCCGATGTGTTGCTGAGGTCAGTATAAGGTCATTGTGTTATCCTGTAACGCTAGCCAGTGGTTGTGTCATACCTGCACAGAGCTCAACAAGCCCGATGTGTTGCTGAGGTCAGCTTAAGGTCATTTTGTTATCCTGTAACGCTAGCCAGTGGTTGTGTCATACCTGCACAGAGCTCAACACAGCCCGATGTGTTGCTGAGGTTAGTTTAATGTCATTGTGTTATCCTGTAACGCTAGCCAGTGGTCGTTTCATACCTGCACAGAGCTCAACACACCCCGATGGGTTGCTTAGGTCAGTTTAAGGCCATTGTGTTATCCTGTTTGACTAGCAAGTGGTTGTGTCATACATGCACAGAGCTCAACACAGCCCGATGGATTGCTGACGTCAGATTTAGGCCATTGTGTTATCCTGTAACGCTAGCCAGTGGTTGTGGCATTCCTGCACAGAGCTTAACACAGCCCGATGGATTGCTGAGGTCTGTTTTATGCCATTGTGTTATCCTGTAACAGAAGCTAGTGGTTTTGTCATACATGGACAGAGCTCAACACAACCCGATGTGTTGCTGAGGTCAGTTTAAGGTCATTGTGTTATCCTGTAACACTAGCCAGTGGTTGTGTCATACATGCACAGAGCTCAACACAGCCCGATGTGTTGATGAGGTCAGTTTAAGGTCATTGTGTTATCCTGTTACCAGAGCCAGTGGTTGTGTCATACATGCACAGAGCTCAACACAGCCCGATGTGTTGCTGAGGTCAGCTTAAGGTTATGGGGTTATCCTGTAACGCTAGCCAGTGGTTTTGTCATATATGCACAGATCTCAACACAGCCCGATGTGTTGCTGAGGTCAGTTTAAGGTCATTGTGTTATCCTGTAACACTAGCCAGTGGTTGTGTCATACATGCACAGAGCTCAACACAGCCCGATGTGTTGCTGAGGTCAGTTCAAGGTCATTGTGTTATCCTGTTACCAGAGCCAGTGGTTGTGTCATACATGGACAGAGCTCAAACAAGCCCGATGTGTTGCTGAGGTCAGCTTAAGGCCATTGTGTTATCCAGTTACCAGAGCCAGTGGTTGTGTCATACATGCACAGAGCTCAACACAGCCCGATGTGTTGCTGAGGTCAGTTCAAGGTCATTGTGTTATCCTGTTACCAGAGCCAGTGGTTGTGTCATACATGGGCAGAGCTCAAACAAGCCCGATGTGTTGCTGAGGTCAGCTTAAGGCCATTGTGTTATCCAGTTACCAGAGCCAGTGGTTGTGTCATACATGCACAGAGCTCAACACAGCCCGATGTGTTGCTGAGGTCAGTTCAAGGTCATTGTGTTATCCTGTTACCAGAGCCAGTGGTTGTGTCATACATGCACAGAAGTCAAACAAGCCCGATGTGTTGCTGAGGTCAGCTTAAGGTCATTGTGTTATCCTGTAACGCTAGCCAGTGGTTGTGTCATACATGCACAGAGCTCAACACAACCCGATGTGTTGCTGAGGTCAGTTTTATGGCCATTGTGTTATCTTGTAACGCTAGCCAGTGGTTGTGTCATACATGCACAGAGCTCAACACAGCCCGATGTGTTGCTGAGGTCAGTTTAAGGTCATTGTGTTATCCTGTAAAACTAGCCAGTGGTTGTGTCATATATGCACAGAGCTCAACACAGCCCGATGTGTTGCTGAGGTCAGTTTAAGGTCATTGTGTTATCCTGTAACGCTAGCCAGTGGTTGTGTCATACATGCACAGAGCTCAACACAGCCCGATGTGTTGCTGAGGTCAGTTTTATGGCCATTGTGTTATCCTGTAACGCTAGCCAGTGGTTGTGTCATACATGCACAGATCTCAACACAGCCCGATGTGTTGCTGAGGTCAGTTTAAGGTCATTGTGTTATCCTGTAAAACTAGCCAGTGGTTGTGTCATATATGCACAGAGCTCAACACAGCCCGATGGATTGCTGACGTCAGATTTAGGCCATTGTGTTATCCTGTAACGCTAGCCAGTGGTTGTGGCATTCCTGCACAGAGCTTAACACAGCTCGATGGATTGCTGAGGTCAGTTTTAGGCCATTGTGTTATCCTGTAACAGAAGCTAGTGGTTGTGTCATACATGGACAGAGCTCAACACAACCCGATGTGTTGCTGAGGTCAGTTCAAGGTCATTGTGTTATCCTGTTACCAGAGCCAGTGGTTGTGTCATACATCCACAGAGCTCAACACAGCCCGATGTGTTGCTGAGGTCAGTTCAAGGTCATTGTGTTATCCTGTTACCAGAGCCAGTGGTTGTGTCATACATGCACAGAGGTCAAACAAGCCCGATGTGTTGCTGAGGTCAGCTTAAGGTCATTGTGTTATCCTGTAAAACTAGCCAGTGGTTGTGTCATACATGCACAGAGCTCAACACAGCCCGATGTGTTGCTGATGTCAGTTTAAGGTCATTGTGTTATCCTGTAACGCTAGCCAGTGGTTGTGTCATACATGCACAGAGCTCAACACAGCCCGATGTGTTGCTGAGGTCAGTTTTAGGCCATTGTGTTATCCTGTAACTCTAGCCAGTGGTTTTGTCATACATGCACAGATCTTAACACAGCCCGATGTGTTGCTGAGGTCAGTTTAAGGTCATTGTGTTATCCTGTAAAACTAGCCAGTGGTTGTGTCATATATGCACAGAGCTCAACACAGCCCGATGTGTTGCTGAGGTCAGTTTAAGGTCATTGTGTTATCCTGTTACCAGAGCCAGTGGTTGTCTCATACATGCACAGAGCTCAACACAGCCCGATGTGTTGCTGAGGTCAGTTCAAGGTCATTGTGTTATCCTGTTACCAGAGCCAGTTGTTGTGTCATACATGGACAGAGCTCAAACAAGCCCGATGTGTTGCTGAGGTCAGCTTAAGGCCATTGTGTTATCCTGTATCACTAGCAAATGGTTGTGTCATACATGCACAGAGTTTAACACAGCCCGATGGATTGCTGAGGTCAGTTTTAGGCCATTGTGTTATCCTGTAATAGAAGCCAGTGGTTGTGTCATACATGCTCAGAGCTCAACACAGGCCGATGTATTGCTGAGGTCAGTTTAAGGTCATTGTGTTATTCTGTACCACTAGCCAGTGGTTGTGTCATACATGCACATGGTTTAACATAACACTTTGTATTGCTTACCGATCTTAATATAAGCTGTTCATGTGTTTGCATATAATGAAAAAAAACCTGTATATTTTCAAAATATGTGTACTTAAACCACACGTTCAGGATCAACGTTTTGTTTTGTCTGAAACCCAAAGTGGCGATCCCTCAGTAAAGTGTGAAATCTCTTGACATCGTTAAAAAACAAATTTTTTGGTGACCATACCAGAATAAGCAAAGATGTTAATGTATTGTATTGATTAATCGAAAAAACCAGAGTGGGTTCGAATCCCGGTTCGCACAGAGTATGTTTCTAAATTTGTCAGCACCATAACCGTGTTCATGGTTGGTTGGTTGGTTTGTTGTTTTACGTCTGTAAATAATCGAGTCTGGACCAGACAATCCAGTGATTAATATCAACCAAGTCAGCGAGCCTGACCACCGCGATTCGCTGTGCAGAGTTGCGTCCCTTGGACACACCAGAAACCTATGATTGTGGGTTCGAATCCCGGTTCGCCCCGATTTTGTTTCTAGGTTTGTCAGCACCATACCCGCGCTCGTGGGTTTCACCGAAGTGGTAAACGTCTGAGACCTGCATCACTTCGGGCTTTCCTCCTACATCAAGCTGACACGCCGCGATATAACTGCAATACTGTTAAAAGCGGTGTTAAACCTACTCACTCATTCAGGTACAGTCTGGGATGCTGAATCAATGTAAAATATCATTTATCCATACATATATGATACTTCGATACAAAACACAAGCATGAGTTGAATCCACGTCAACACCTGTCACCTCTTCTGATGAGTCACGACGCCGACGTCAGTGATAGGTCTCTATATATATATTAAGCCCATCTCCCAAGGGACAGTCCTCAATGTTCTGCAGAACAGGTAGGTATATACTGATTGCACACTTCTTTTTGAAGGAGGGCACTGGTGGCTCAGTCGTCTTAGGCGCCGCGATACGCTGTGCAGAGTCGCGTCCCTTGGACACGCCAGAAGCCGATGATTGTGGGTTCGAATCCCGGTTCGCCCCGATTATGTTTCTAGCTTTGTCAGCACCATACCCGTGCTCGTGGGTTTCATCGAAATGGTAAACTGTCTGAGACCTGCATCACTTCGGGTTTTTCTCCCACATTAAGCTGACACGCCGCGATATAACTGGAAGACTGTTAAAAGCGACGTTAAACCCATCTCACTCACTCACTCACTCAAGTACACTCACCCTTTTTGAAATTTTATTATCAGTACTATTTCACGTACAAAGTTTGTATACCGTTAGGTCTAGATAGACTGCCGGAAAACAGCAAGAGTATACCCATGTTAGATGGTGGCTAAAAATTAAACAAATAAAAAATAGTTATTCGATGGCAAGGTTTTTGAGACGGGTATCATAGGGGTGTTTTGGATCTTAAGTATGGAGTGCTCCGGCGATTTTTTACAAACTAGTAACGTTTTGATGATGTTTTTAATATTATGGTTACTGTCCGGCGAGATATTGAGCAGATTGCACGGTACAACTCCGCGATGTAGTTAATATGGGTAAAGGTATAGTTATATGGCAAGATATCAGGCTGATTGTACGGTACTACTCCGCGATGTAGTTAATATGGGTATAGGTATAGTTATATGGTAAGATATCAGGCTGATTGTACGGTACTACAAGAGCTACATACTTATGAATGATACTCCGCGATGTAGTTAATATGGGTATAGGTATAGTTATATGGCAAGATATCAGGCTGATTGTACGGTACTACTCCGCGATGTAGTTAATATGGGTATAGGTATAGTTATATGGTAAGATATCAGGCTGATTGTACGGTACTACAAGAGCTACATACTTATGAATGATACTCCGCGATGTAGTTAATATGGGTATAGGTATAGTTATATGGTATGATATCAGGCTGATTGTACGGTACTACAAGAGCAACATACTTATAATACTCCGCGATGTGGTTAATATGGGTATAGGTATAGTTATATGGTAAGATATCAGGCTGATTGTACGGTACTACAAGAGCTACATACTTATGAATGATACTCCGCGATGTAGTTAATATGGGTATAGGTATAGTTATATGGTAAGATATCAGGCTGATTGTACGGTACTACAAGAGCTACATACTTATGATACTCCGCGATGTGGTTAATATGGGTATAGGTATAGTTATATGGCAAGATATCAGGCTGATTGTACGGTACTACAAGAGCTACATACTTATGAATGATACTCCGCGATGTAGTTAATATGGGTATAGGTATAGTTATATGGTAAGATATCAGGCTGATTGTACGGTACTACAAGAGCTACATACTTATAATACTCCGCGATGTGGTTAATATGGGTATAGGTATAGTTATATGGTAAGATATCAGGCTGATTGTACGCTACTACAAGAGCTACATACTTATGAATGATACTCCGCGATGTAGTTAATATAGGTATAGGTATAGTTATATGGTAAGATATCAGGCTGATTGTAGGGTACTACAAGAGCTACATACTTATGATACTCCGCGATGTGGTTAATATGGGTATAGGTATAGTTATATGGTAAGATATCAGGCTGATTGTACGCTACTACAAGAGCTACATACTTATGAATGATACTCCGCGATGTAGTTAATATAGGTATAGGTATAGTTATATGGTAAGATATCAGGCTGATTGTACGCTACTACAAGAGCTACATACTTATGAATGATACTCCGCGATGTAGTTAATATAGGTATAGGTATAGTTATATGGTAAGATATCAGGCTGATTGTAGGGTACTACAAGAGCTACATACTTATGATACTCCGCGATGTGGTTAATATGGGTATAGGTATAGTTATATGGTAAGATATCAGGCTGATTGTACGGTACTACAAGAGCTACATACTTATGAATGATACTCCGCGATGTAGTTAATATGGGTATAGGTATAGTTATATGGCAAGATATCAGGCTGATTGTACGCTACTACAAGAGCTACATACTTATGAATGATACTCCGCGATGTAGTTAATATAGGTATAGGTATAGTTATATGGTAAGATATCAGGCTGATTGTAGGGTACTACAAGAGCTACATACTTATGATACTCCGCGATGTGGTTAATATGGGTATAGGTATAGTTATATGGTAAGATATCAGGCTGATTGTACGGTACTACAAGAGCTACATACTTATGAATGATACTCCGCGATGTAGTTAATATAGGTATAGGTATAGTTATATGGTAAGATATCAGGCTGATTGTAGGGTACTACAAGAGCTACATACTTATGATACTCCGCGATGTGGTTAATATGGGTATAGGTATAGTTATATGGTAAGATATCAGGCTGATTGTACGGTACTACAAGAGCTACATACTTATGAATGATACTCCGCGATGTAGTTAATATAGGTATAGGTATAGTTATATGGTAAGATATCAGGCTGATTGTAGGGTACTACAAGAGCTACATACTTATGATACTCCGCGATGTGGTTAATATGGGTATAGGTATAGTTATATGGCAAGATATCAGGCTGATTGTACGCTACTACAAGAACTACATACTTATGATTAGGGCTGCAAAGATACAGGAGGGTCACGATACGATACGCATCTCGATATTGTGGTCACGATACGATACGTATCTCGATACGCAATGATAACAAAAACAAGACTTAAAGCATGTAAAGATTGAACCTTTCATGATTTTGGAACAGTCAAAATTATTTTATAATAACAAGACTACTGAAGTTGTTCAGCTTCAAAGTGGAACTTTCTTTAACTTTCCTTAAAAACTATTCAAAGTTCAAACACCAGAAACTTATTAATGTACTCCACCAGTGATACAACTTCAAAGAACTCTGATGCAATGGTCGAAGAAATTGTATCTGAAATTATTGTTTTATCAGGAATAATATATTCCAATATCGTGTTACCTTAGTTGCAGCTTTTACTATATATATATTTAGAATTATAAGAACCACAAGTGTAGCATACTGGTGATTGCTGTTGCAGGATAATTTTACGTATGGAACAATTTGACCAGTCACCCTAGGGACTTCCCGTGCTACATGTATTTCGATTGCGATAACGTTATGTTATGACTTTTAACGAGTCAAAGTATGGCATTTTTAATATATGTATCCATTCTCCAGCAACTAAAGTTCGTTTCAATGCGTCAAAAGCGGCAATCTGACCGTGGTTGCTGTATCTCTTCACACACAATTTCACATAACTTAATGAAACAATATTAAATGAAATTTTGAATAAAATTAATAAAATATATGACAAATACAAGTCCAGATATATAAATCAATTTTTTAATAAGCTTAGGTTTTTCACCGACAGATGTTTTTCCCCATCTCAAAAAACATTATCAGCTGATCCCCGTGAGCACATAACAATGGAAATACCGGTCAGCAAGTCCGAACTGAAGTACGCAATTCAATACCATTATCATACTATCTTGTTATTAAAACGTGTTCATTATATATCTGGACTTGTGTTTGTAATATATTTTATTAATTCTATTCAAAATTTTATTTCATGACTCATATCACATCTATATCAAATTTTATAACAATTTTATTTGATTCACTGACTATGTTATTGTACTTTACCATAACTATTGATCTGCAGTCACGATGTCGGTGATCCGACTCTACGCAGTTGTGTCCCTTGCCTGTCTTCTCCTGGTCATTGAAACAAGTGCACGACCAAGTGAACCCCGAGTGAACAACCAGAGACTAACACAGGTTAGTATTTCGACCCCAGATGTTGACCATGTTCGCGGCAGATAAACTGAGGGCCAAAAGAAACGTTACCAACATTAACCGATTTGCCACTTTAAAAAAAAGATGCCAACCTGTTCAAAAACAGTAAAGAACACATCTCACAAATACAGCCTTCATGTTCTCTGTCGTTCTTTGCACGTGCTTTGCGGATTTTGGGAGATATTGGTGTTTTTCAGCATTTTTTAAAACATTCTTTCCCAAATTATCTTGCAATTTCCGGGTATAAATTACGCACGGATCTGTTCCCTATCATTGGTTGCGATGATTAACACCAACGAACATGCCAAGACTGACCGCTGTCCAGAGGGAGAGAGCCATAGGTATGCTGCAGATGGTAGCGACACAGAGAGAGGTTGCCATTAACATGAACTGCTCCAAGATGACCATTACCAGACTGGTCGCACGTCTCCGACAGACTGGCAGAACCGCAGACAGACCACGGAGTGGCAGACCAACGGTCACGACCCCGCAGGATGACCGCTTTTTACGGGTACTTCATCTGAGGAACAGATTTCTTACTGTGACGTCATCAGCTGCCAACAGCTTAGGACATCCGGTCAGCGGACAAACAGTGACCAGACGACTACGACATTATGGTCTCCGGGCTTATCGCCTTTTCAAGGGCATGACCTTGACCCGTCAACATCGACGTGCCAGATTGACGTGGTGCAGGCAAACTCAGCGATGGCAACGAAGGGAATGGCGGCGAGTGCTGTTTAGTGACGAGAGCAGGTTCCAAATCTTCAAACCTGATGGGCGGAAGCGAGTATATCGACGACGTGGTGAACGTACGGCTCCTTGTTGTGTGGAACCTTACGGGGGCGGAAGTTTGATGGTCTGGGGCAGCATTTGCGGGGACGAGAAGACGGAACTTGTCAGCATCGAAGGCAATCTGACAGCACAGCGCTACATTGACAATATCTTACGGTCAGTGGTTCTTCCTTTCATCCAACGTCAACAACGGACGTTGTTCCAACAAGATAACGCCACACCCCATAAAGCCCGTATTACTAGAGACTTCCTCAACGCCAACAACGTGACTGTCCTGCTGTGGCCAGCTCGATCACCAGATCTGTCACCAGTAGAACATCTCTGGGACCATCTGGGCGTCGTCTTCGGAAACGTCAACATCCTTCCTTTCACGAGACAAGCGTTGATCGTTGCCCTCCGTGAGGAATCGAATCGGATACCTGCAGTCGATGTGAGGACGCTTGTCTACTCAGTTCGACGCCGCATTCGAAAATGCATTGCCGCTCATGGAGGTCATATCCCGTATTGAACGGTCTGGGCCGTCGTCACCTTAAAGTTGTAACCAATGTTGTTGATCGAATACTGGACGAATGACCCATTGTCAAGAAATGTCCCTGTTGGAGGTCAAGGTCTTTGTTGTTGAATTAGTAAATTCGCATTTTACTGTTCTGAATGATGAATTTCTACAATACAATTGTTATTGCTGCTTCAAATTGTGTTGGTCATAATTGATCCTAGAAATATCGTTGGTAACGTTTCTTTTGGCCGTCAGTTTAGATGGAGTGGTTGTAGTATCAACACTTACATGCAATTCAGGATACACACTACAGCATGAAGTGAGTGAGTGAGTATGGTTTTACGCCGCTTTTTGCAATATTCAAGCAATATCACGGCGGGGGACATCGGAAATGGGCTTCACACATTGTACCCATGTCGAGAATCGAACCCGGGTCTTCGGCGTGACGAGCGAACGCTTTAACCACTAGGCTACCCGACCTCCCCACAACACGATAAATCCTTCAAGTGAGTGAGTGAGTGAGTGAGTATGGTTTTACGCCGCTTTTAGCAATATTCCAGCAATATCACGGCGGGGGACATCAGAAATGGGCTTCACATATTGTACCCGTTTCGGGAATCGAACCCGGGTCTTCGGCGTGACGAGCGAACGCTTTAACCACTAGGCTACCCGACCGCTCGACGACATGATGAATCCTTCAAGAATATGATGTGAGGTGAAATGAGGTTTAACGTCGCTTTATCGTGATGTGCATGCACGTGTGTGTTCAAGTTAAGTCTCGTTAATTCCGAGCATCAGGCAGAGTAACAACATCAGATAACTTCTATCAACAAACTCACGGTGAAGGTGAGGTGAAATGGGGGTTTAACGTCGCGTCCAAGATTATTGCACTTATATTGCGACGTGCATGTACTTGTGTGTGTGGCTGCTTGTACTAGTCCGGACTGATGCCGATTTATAGTGCTAGCTCACTGAGATACCAAGCCGCAGTTTAACATGAATACCCCACTCAGACACAGTATACTGACTCCGAGCCAACCAGTCCTTGTTTTAGCCCCTTAATGCCGAGCGCCAGACAGGGTAACAACAAGTACCATCTTTTAACGTCTTTTGGTATGACGCGGCCGGGGATAGGAAACCCACGGCCTCCCAATGGGATACCCACTATCACCCTTGATCACCGACATATTTATGACCCTATGTGTTGTACACAGTACCATGCACTATCACTTCCATCAACGTCAATTAATATAACCATGGGGGCGGTGGCGTAGCCCAGTGGTTAAAGCATTCGCTCGTCACGCCGTGGACACGGGTTCGATTACCCGGATGTGTAATTTTTGTGAAGCCTATTACTGGTGTTCTCCGCCGTGATATTGCTGGAATATTGCTAAAAGTGACGTTAAGCCATATTCACTCACTAAAAATATTATATTTCCTTCAAGCAAAACAGTGGTTAACTCACCCAAGCGCTCTCTCTCTCTCTCTCTCTCTCTCTCTCTCTCTCTCTCTCTCTCTCTCTCTACTTTTCCTCTTTTTGAAGAAAAAGCCCTTGAAATTTCCCCAATAACTCCCCTCTGGTGGTTCCGCAAAGTTGATGACACCTTTGGCATCCTACATCCCAACAACGACCCCAGAACTCTATTGGACCACCTTAATTCCCAAAACCCACCAATGCAGTTCACCATGGAGGAAGAAACCAATCAACAGCTCCCCTTCCTCGATGTACTCGTACAGAAAGATAATAACGACAAACTCCAGACCACTGTTTATCGGAAACCTACCCACACAGATCAATACATACACTATGCCTCCAACCATCCACCTCAAGTCAAGAAAGGAATTGTCTCAACCCTAGCAAGACGAGCTCACAACATCTGTTCCACGAAGCAACATCTAACCACTGAACTAAGCAACCTCAACCTCTTTACACAGTATAATTGGATATTAGGAACATTGACAGTCCTACTTTGTTCCGATCAAGACTCAAAACCTATCTTTTCACCAAATCTTTCTTAGAGTATTGAGGCTTTGTGTTTTCCTAGCTGTGTAATGTCTCTTTTTTTGTGTAGACTCAAATGAAGCGCTTTTGAGCAGTTCTTCGAACTGGATACCAGCGCTTTATAAATCTGTAGTTATTATAATTATTATAACCTCTATCCTGAGCAACTAGTACAACAGACGATACAGATCTCCGTCATCCATAAATTCTTATCCTTATCTTATAACGTCTTTTAGTATGACGCTGCAACTGACCATCCGCTCTCCAGGCAGGCGGTCTATCCACTGGACCATTCGTGACCAACTCGTGTTATTCCGGGACAAACCGAATAGCGACTCGCGCCCCTCTCGTGGCCATTTTTGCGACCGGGTTCCGTCTTAGCGCAAACGGGCATACCTAAAACAATTGTCAACTCGTTGCGTAATCGTTCACACATTTTCCCCAATATATTATATATATTGCAGATGCAATTTAAAGCACATAGGGACGTGCGGAATTATACAGCATGATTGAACACATTTTGTCTTTGGTAGATTTTTAGATGCAAGACATATGTAAAATCAAAAATTATTTCTGAGGGATTTGATACATACGCGCATTCCGATTGGTTTGTCGTATTTTCGCACATAACATTCATCGATAGGGGGACGAGTCTTCTTGCAGGTTACGGAAAGGGGCGAGTTGTGACGAATGGGTCCAGCCATCTCAGACGCCGCCATTCGCTGTGCAAAGTCGAGTCCCTATGATTGTGGGTTCGAATCCCGGTTCGCCCCGATTATGCTTCTAGGTTTGTCAGCACCATACCCGTGCTCGTGGGTTCACCTAAGTGGTAAACCTCTGAGACCCGCATCACTTCGGGCTTTTCTCCCACATTCAGCTGACACGCCGTGATACAACTGTAATTCTGTTAAAAGCGACGCTAAAAACCCAAATCACTCACTCACATGTGACTCAGCTCTTTGTGTCTAAATGTTTCAGCAAGTTAGAGAGAAAAGAGATGACGAAGTATCTGCACTGCTAGAAAAGGCCCACCCCAAGCCAGCAGAAGAAAGGAAGTGTACGTCGATAAACGATGTACGTATATATATTTAGGTATAGTATTTACACCCAGACTAGTTTGGACTAAAGCGCAGTCCTGCCTTGCATTACAAGCAAATAAAGCCCTAATGATTATAAACGTATCAAAAGAGAGTAGGTGATATTAATTGTACTGATCTTTTCAGGATTTTTGATGCAATAGTTACGCCAATATTGTGCTATGGGTCAGAAATCTGGGGAACAACATATTGTAAAACTACTGAAAATGTTCAGATAAGAATGTGCAAATATTTCCTGAAAGTTGGTAAAAGTACATGCAATAGTATGGTACTGGGTGAATGTGGTAGAGCTTCACTTCAGCTTACACACATGTCACGGGGAGTTAAGTACTGGTGTAGACTAATCACTCTAGATAGTGAGTGAGTGAGTATAGTTTTACGCCGCTTTTTATTCCAGCAATATCACGGCGGGGGACACCAGAAATGGGCTTCACACATTGTACCCATGTCGGGAATCGAACCCGGGTCTTCGGCGTGACGAGCGAACGCTTTAACCACTAGGCTACCCGACCGCCCCCTCTAGATAGAAATAGACTACCTCATCCATGGTATTTATGTTAAAGTCTCTTGATGATGCTGGCAGAGTCACATGGGCTACACGCTTCAAACATATTCTATTTCATTTTGGGTTTGGTTTTAAATGGTTTAGACAGGATGTTGGAAATATTAACATTTTTATCAGATTATTTAAAATAAGACTTCTTGATAATTTTAAACAAAACTGGTATTCTACAAAATACTCTTCTCATAAATGTGCTAACTGTGTGTTATATAAGAGATTTTTACATGTGGAAACATACTTATGCATTGCTATTCCTTTATATTTGAGAATCTGTTTCACAATATTTAGATGTGGTAATTTTAGACTTATGACAGAAACAGGAAGATACACTAACATAAGATTATGCCCTCATTGTAGGCTAAATGACAAAATGTACTTAGAAGACGAGATTCGTGTTTTACTTGTATGTGATGCATATACCTATATAAAAAAAGGTATATTAGTAACTACATCAGAAATGACAGTGCAGTTAACATATTCATAAATATTATGAACACTCAAAATACACAAACAATAAGTGGTCTCTGTTAATACCTATTGAATGTGCAAAAAATAAGAAATATGTTCAATACCACTTAATATATCTATTTTCCCAGACAGGGTAACAACAAGTACCATCTTTTAACGTCTTTTGGTATGCCGCGGTCGGGGATCGAACCGCGGACCTTCCGCTCTGCGGGCAGACGCTCTACCACTAGACCACGGAGGCACGGGTGGCCCAGCCGTCTCAGACGCCGCGATTCGCTGTGCAAAGTCGCGTCCCTTGGGCACGCCAGAAGCCTATGATTGTGGGTTCGAATCCCGGTTCGCCCCGATTATGCTTCTCGGTTTGTCAGCAGCATACCCGTGCTCGATGTGGTATACGTCTGAGACCCGCATCACTTCGGGCTTTCCTCCCACATTCAGCTGACATGTCGTGGTAGTACAACTGTAATTCTGTTAAAAGCGACGCTAAACCCAACTCACTCACTCACGTGTAACTCAGCTCTGTGTGTCTAAATGTTTCAGCAAGTTAGAGAGAAAAGAGATGAAGTGTTTGCACTGATAGAAAATGCCCACCCCAAGCCAGCAGAAGAAAGTAAGTGTACGCCCATCAATTGTTAACATTTAAAACATACATGTACGTGTAATTTAGCTACAATTTACACATATTTACACGGGTCTAGAAAAGTGATTATGTTCATATAAAACTGAGGTGTGTAGATATAGTGAACGATTCCATGTATTTTAGTGTGTTCAATAAGCGTGCACGCTGTGTAAGGTGTCACTGTGTTTTTCGTAGACAAACATGGCTATGGCAACGTATACTTAATTTGGCGGTTCCCTTAAGCATTGTAGTCCCACGTGGTTTCAAAAACTACTTTATTGAGAGAAAATACGTCTGAACGTTCATTATTTTATGAATGACATCTTGCGATACAGATATGCTTACGCTCTTGTGTTCCCGTGTAAAATATTAGAAATATAACAGGAATATTGAAATGTACTATAAGACACCAGATCTACCTCGTGTTGTCTGACGAAGTGAGTTACCATTGAAAGGCACCATTAAATAATGTCTAAATTTGAAGTTTACACGATATGCGGCTTTTTCGCAAGCTCCGACGTTCATACAGTTTGGCCCTCACTCTTATGAAGGTTCATACTCCAATGAGTGAGTGAGTGAGTTTGGTTTTACGCCGCTTTTAGCAATATTCCAGCAATATCACGGCAGGGGACACCAGAAATGGGCTTCACACATTGTACCCATGTCGGGATTCGAACCCGGGTCTTCAGCGCGACGAGCGAACGCTTTAACCACTAGGCTACCCGACCGCCCCCATACACAAAGTGAAAGTCAATTCTTAAATATATGCCATACCTTTTCGTGAAAAAAAGAAAGATCTTCATGACCCTTTTCGCGAACACCTGGTGTCATCACGGATTTATAGTGATGCATTCATAAAATTCTCACATCTATTTTGCCCTTTATACCCAAAAGAATCTGTTTCATCAGATATTCAGGACTGCTTGTTCTCTGATGTTCACGTTTCAGATTTCCTCAGTTAAGATAATGACCGTAATTTCTTTTTCTTATGATTGTGAAAATACTTTTGTTTATATTCATTAATAACTATTTTTTTTATACTTTCAGCAAACGCGGGAAAGTTATCCACATGCCTTAATTAAATATTAAATACTGCATGGTTTGTGTGTCTCTGTCAATAGTTGAGTACAGTAAAGTACGTTTATAACGAACACGCTTATAACGAACTGACGGATAAAATGAACTTATTTTTTTGTCCTGACCATGTGCTGCATATATGCTGCAAATATTCTTATAACGAACTATGGTTATAACGAAATAAAATAAGTGATCCCTTTCAGTTCGGTACAAGAGTAGTGAGTGACTGAGTTTGGTTTTACGCCGCTTTTAGCAATATTCCAGCAATACCACGGCGGGGGACACCAGAAATGGGCTTCACACATTGAACCCATGTCGGAAATCGAACCCGGGTCCTCGGCGTGACGCGCGAACGCTTTAACCACGAGGCTACCCGACCGCCCCTATACGAGTACTGTATGTGTTATTGAAATTTAGACACCAGTGAAATGCAACCTCGTTATATCGTGTTATGAAAAGCTTTTGGTCAGCTTAAGATATGAGAAAAGCCTGCGGTTTGTCAGCACCGTTCCCAAAGTGGTCCTTCTAAATAAAAGGGACAAAACCCTGTTCCATAATCAAAATGATAATTACTGAAGTTTAATGCCGCACGCAGCAATATTCCAGCTATATGACGGCGGTCTGTAAATAATCGAGTCTGGACCAGACAATCCAGTGATTGACATCATGGGCATCGATCAACGCAATTGGGATACGATGACATGCATCAACCAAGTCAGCGAGCCTGACCACACGATCCCGTTAGTCGCCTCTTACGACAAGCATAGTCGCCTTTTATGGCAAGCATGGGTTGCTGAAGACCTAGTCTACCCCGGATCTTCACGGATCGAATGATTACTGATGTAAATCGGGGAGCAATAGAAACTATTCCTCTCAGTTGATTTTATTATATGTACTTTGTTCAACTGACAAGATTAATTTAACGAAAATTATTTAGAAATAAATTACCTGTACTGGTTAGCACTCAAAGAATACATCTACATTGATTTATTTAAAAAAAAATTGATTTAATTTGATTTAAAAAATGTACAAATAGAAAAAGAAATCGCACAATGATGGGCATCTTAGAAACCATATCTTAAGAAATCAATGAATTTGCTTTTTTCGGCAAATCATGCGGGGGGCATGTGGTTTAAATTCCATTCCTGCCTCAGTCTTCATTGAACACATTTCCTAGCCACAGATTATATTATTATGTTGCCCCTCAGTTAAGAATTGTTTTGTCGCTTCCTTGGACATCGAGTTACACCGCTAGGTTTGGGTGGTATGGGCCCATCACCGTCCTTGTTTCCTGAATGGGAGTGGTTGTATTGTGGTTGGACAACCGATGCTTTTACGGATATAAAGTACTGACAACCAACACGAGCAAATACATATTTAATTTATGTGTGATTTTCGTATCCAAACAGGTCAGCGGAACTGAAGCGGACATAAAATATTCACAACATTCTAACACGCATGTTGACTCCACTTTATATCTCCGCCTGGCCTCAGTGTTTAGGAGTAATGTTCGCAAAATGGTTAGCGTATCCTGCCCCACGGGTGATACCGTCACAAACACATGCAACGGCAATTCAGTTGTTCACATGAAAAAGCACCGGAACATATGACACATGTCAAAATATCGAATGTGTCACTGACGCTTCAAATATAACTTCATCTTTCCCATTTCTCCTCTTTTCTCTCACTTCCTTCTTCTTTCATTCGCTACTTCTGTCCTCTCTCCCTGTCACACTTTCTTTCTCTCACACGACACATGTAGCTCGGGGTGAGGTGAGGTGAGGTGAGGTGAGGTGAGGTGAGGTGAGGTGAAATGGGGTTTAACTTCGCGACCAAGATTATTGCACTTATAAAGCGACTTGCATGCACGTGTGTGTGTTTGTGTGGCTGCTTGTACTAGTCCGACCTGATGCCAATTTATAGTGACAGGCTAACAACAAGTACCATCTTTTAACGTCTTTTGGTATGACACGTCCGGGGATCGAACCTCGGACCTTCCGCTCTCCATGGTGGCGGTCCCTTAGTGACGGAACATTGGCGGATGGTGTGTGTGTGTGTGTGTGTGTGTGTGCGTGCGTGCGTGCGTGCGTGTGTGTGTGCATGTGTGTGTGTGTGTGCATGTGTGTGTGTGTGCGCGTGTGTGTGTGTGCGTGCGTGCGTGCGTGCGTGTGTGTGTGCGTGTGCATGTGTGTGTGTGTGTGTGTGTGTGTGCGCACGTGCATGTGTGTGTGTGTGTGTGTGTGTGTGTGTGTGTGTGTGTGTGTGTGTGTGTGTGATTGGACGAAACAAGAAATACAGGGTATTGACACCGTCACACGAAGAACCATGTCAGACAATAGTTCAAAATGTAAATATGAAATGTAGATTATGCAATGATTTTAATGAGACTGCCCAACACATTGTCAGTGGATGCCCAGCTTTGCCTCAAACACAGTATCTTAAGCGACATGATGATGTAGCTCAATCATTTTATTGCCGTCTTCGCCATGCTTGTGGTTTTGACACAGAGGTCCATCCACGGTACGACCCGGAATATGTAGAGGGAGTCATCGAAAATGATCAATACAAAATTCTTTGGAAGAGGCCCGTATACAACTTCAGACGTATGCATGCCAACAAACCTGATCTTGTCCAATGAAATCATTTATATTGTTCAATTTTCCGTCACTTTTTGACACGAATGTCATTGACAAAATACAAGAAAAACATGGCAAATATGCAGACCTCGCTTTCGAAATGTCACGCTTGTATTAGGTTTGGTACCTCCCAATCCGTTGGCAGACATTGGGAGAGTACCCGGGTTTGCTAGCAGGAATACAGCCCTTCTGACAATCTGGGTAATGCAGACGGCTGCAGTGTTGGGGAGTCTTCACATTCTCCGAACAGTTCTGGGTGGATTTGACTAGGCAGCGCTTCCTGTGAGAAGTTCCATTTGCTCTCTGGGCTGCGTGTAGAGGGAACAAGGGCCCTGAGCCGATGAAGAGCCTAACCAACCTGACTGTGCAAGGATCACCCAAACCCTTTTAGCTGCATTTTTATTTTAATCTGTAAATAATAATACAACCAAATACATAATAAAATTACCATCAAGATGCATTACAAGAGATATTTTAGATATCTCTACCAACACTGTGTGCACAGTACTGTTTGCCCGAGGCCCATAACACAAACAAGATTAAAAAAAAAAATTAAATGTGCATGCTGAATAAACGACTGGGGGGAAGTACGCTTCATGTTACTGGGGTAGGTGGTTTGCTTCTAATCTTTAGTACTGGACCAAAGAATTTAATCAAACATTTGATAATGTGAATAATGTCTTACAAAGGTCATTTCAGTCATTGGTAGATTGATGAGATCATTAGCGAAACATTCTCTCCTCGGTTGGGAATAAATGTCACATACAAGGGCGGATCCACCCCCCCCCCCCCCCCCCCCACCCCCCCACCCCCCCCCCATCCGCCTCTGCATAAGCGTGTGAGGAAAATATGTAGTTCATCCTCAACATAACCAAAGCCTCCAGTATGGCAACAAACAGAAGCTTTCGTTATATCGCGCTTGTGTTGGTTGGTTGTTTAACGCCGCACTAAGCAATATCCCAGCTAAATGACGGCGGTCTGGACCATTCAGATTCTACGCAGTTGTCGCCCTTGTGTGCGTCTTCCTGGTCATCCAGACCAGTGCGGAGGTGAGTATATATCCGTAATTGAGGCATTTGTTAGGCACAGCTCTGCAGATTGGTTGGTTCGTTGTTTTACGCCGCACTCAGCAATATTCCAGCTAAATGACGGCGGTCTGTAAGTAATCGGGTCTGGACCGGACAATCCAGTGATTGATATCGTGAACATTGATCCACGGGTTCCATTGGGATACGATGACATGTATCAACCCCTGATCTCCACGGGTCTGGCGCTTGTGTATGTCGGCCGCATTCAAAAGCAAGTCTGAAGTTATTACACCAAAACATGGTTACTATTTTCCGTTGATAAGCGAGAAGGTCCCAAGTTAAACAGGTTTTTAATTAAGATTTAAACTGAGAATAATAATTACATTAAGAAGAAGTATCGAGGGAGAGCCAATATTAAAGAAGCAGTCATAAAATCTCTATTTGGCGGTTACCATAAATGAGCAGACGCAAACGATATTTTGAGACAGCCATATCAATCCGCCCGTCCCCCAAGCCCACCCCCTCCCTTTTTTTATCTAAATAATTTTTTTCTTGTATCAGATGCCCAAGTATACCTAGCAGTATTTAAGAGTTTTGATCAGTTTCTATGTTTCGTGTGGAAATCTATGCTGTGGTAACTGGATCAGCCTGCATCAGAGTGAGTGATTGAGTGAGTGAGTGAGTTGGGTTTAACGCCGCTTTTAACAGTATTCCAGTTATATCACGGCATGTCAGCTTAATGTGGGAGGAAAGCCCGAAGTTATGCTGGTCTTCGACGTTTACCACTTCGGTGAAACCCACGAGCACGGGTATGGTGCTGACAAACCTAGGAACATAATCGGGGCGAATCGGGATTCGAACCCACAATCATAGGTTTCTGGCGTGCCCAAGGGACGCAACTCTGCACAGCGAATCGCGGCGCCTTAGACGACTGCCCCCCTCCCAGCCCCCGCAACAGAACTGCTGTGGGTGTGTAATGATACTTCATGGAGACTTAGCCACACTCTCCCAGGACTTTATTATTATTAGTATACTTGTTTACTTTCGGAAGTGATTTATAGAATCTCGTTTGGACACTCTCAATGGTGTTACAATAAGTCGTTTCCCATATCTCGGACCCATAGCACAGAATAGGTGAGATCATTGCATCAAAATGTCAGTTTAACCCTAGAACCATGAATGTACATTTGTTCTGTGTGTTCTGTATGAATAAACGAGGCCACGGATGCTTCAATTCGCTGTTCAGAGTTGCTACCTTTGGCCTCCCACAATCATATGACCGTTATTGAGTGAGTATGATTTTACGCCACTTTTAGCAATATTCCAGCAATATCACGGCAGGGGACACCAGAAGTGGGCTTCACACATTGTACCCATGTGGGGAATCGAACCCGGGTCTCCGGCCTGACGAGCGA